CTTTTTTTTCCTTCCTCTCTTTTTTCTTTTTTTTCTTAAGCTAACCCAGCAGATTAGCATCTCTCCATGACACCCTTTCCAGGAATTGCATGTTAAATCCCTCATGAATCAAACCAACAAGAACTGAACGCCAATTACTTGAGCCAAAGCCAGAGCGGTGTAGGTTGGGCTGGGGAGTGGAGAGGTCTCCAAGTGACAGGGACCATCTCGTGACTTCGAGCGGGCCCATCACTGCGAAAGCTGGGCTTATAACGCAGCTGCACAACATTTAACAATTAGTCTTTTATTACCCAAATTTCAAAACAGAGCATTTATAGTCCGTAGCATGTGCAGCACTAATACCACCACAATAGATCAGATAACCCAAATTCAGCTTTTTAAGCCGTATCTTAAGAAGGAAGGAGAACAACAACATAAAAGGCATGCTTATGAGTTGCTGTGGCGCGGGGCTCGGCGTTATCTCCCTGGCACGAATTGCTGTTTGAAGGAGAGTTCAAGCGAGCAAACCCCTGTTCTGCCGCGCTGGGGGCTGCGGGCAGCATGGCAGCCCACGCGCCGGCGGGGGACAGCCCGTCCCCACCCTGCGAGGAGAAAGCCTTATCGGGGAGCCCGCATCCCCATCAGCGCGCACTGGGAAGCGCAGATAGCGTTGCACGAGAGGCGTGAGCGCGGCAAAACAATCCCACCATGAGAAAGGCAGCGACCGGGCTTCTTCCAGCAGAGCCCACGCTTTTGTAAGAGCAGCTCCACCCCCTGCTAGCTCGTGAATTCTCAATGCCCAGAAGAGCCCCTGCATATCTGTTCCCGCCGATGTTAATGCAACTACCTGCAGTAGTAAATACTGCCCCAACTAATGGGTTTTGCAGGGCTGAGATGAGATTCAGCGGCTCCAAGCATTCAGCCCGCGCTCTGGCTCCGCTCTGAGCATCCGCAAGGCCCCGAGGTCGGCACGGCTTTGCTTGAGCAAAGCAGCTCCTGGGGGTGCCGCGGCCACTTCCCCCTCCCTGCACACGCCAACAGGTGTTGACTTTGAACAAACAAAGCCAGGGCCATACCGTTTATGAATTGTGTCCTAGGTGTGTTTGAAGAAAAATAACCCTGCTTTTTTTAAGGCTGTTTGGAAAGGGTCCGGGTGAGGAACCTGTGTTTTTATATGCCCACAAGCCTAGAGGTGCCGCAGACTTCCCAGGTGAGCACACGCTGATCACAGCTCCAACTGCTGTCCTAACGACTGAATTAAGATCAATTCACCGGGCTTTGGATGAGGTGGGTAACAAAGCCTATTTGGCACGCAGGGCGTTGCTATCTACAGGCTGCTATCGCTTCCTTATCATACCAGCTGGACTTACCAAAACTGAGACATTAATAGAATGAGAGCTAGAAAGAAGCAGTTTCTCCCCACCCCCTTCCTGCTTTTCAGCTTCATTGCCCTCTGCAATGCCTTTTGCTGGTTCCTCATGCAACCAGGTCCTCTTCTGCTGAAAAAGTGTCTTTGTATAAAAATAGGGAAATCCCAGCAGTTTCCACTGGCTGCAAGTTTATTAAGGCCTGCTGTATACATTGCAGGCTCCACTATAGATTTTATTATTTTTAATTAATATATATTTAAATCAAGCCTGTCCTACTTTTGTAAACAATGTGTCAAACCAGTTCAGGTTTGCTCAGCTGAGGGCACGGGGAGTCCCAGACACAGCTCCCTGACAGCATCCTGCAGGGCAGCAATGCTCCCCAAGAAAACCATTACACGGCCCAGCCCTCCTTCCTCCTGCTCAAACCTGCTGTCACAAACCCAAAACCTACTAAAACAAGCACTTTTTTTTCCTTCTGTCCACATCTAACTTTCTCCCAGGTCGGACTACTTGGTATACAAATCCCATCCTTTGGCACTGCTCAGGGACGACAGGCTCTTCGGAGCGAGCACAGCATACGGTGGGTAGGGCAGGATGCAGGCACAGGCGGATTGTATCACCTCCCCGCGCTTCCGTGGGCAGAAAAGGGGCGGAAGGCAGGCAGGAACTTCATTCAAACATCCTGAAACTCACGGCCATACAAACACCCTGACTTGCTTTAAATGATCGCTTTTGTGTGAAGAGCAAATTGACTTTAAAGTGACTTCAAGAGAATGATTAAAATTGTTCATTGCGTCTTGGCCACCTACGTTCTCCTTGCACACAAGAGGGTTCATTTGTTTGTTTGGGGCTGGTTTTGGCAGCTGAGCATAACGAGAGGGCAAGCCTCTTCTTTCACATCTCCATCCTATATGCATCACCACCTAGAGTAGTGCTCCAGATTTAGAAAGGCAAAAGAAGACAATATGCAAGTTAAATCTTAGCATGGCAGGAAACTACTTCTCCGCAATAACGCTACTGGCTATTTTCTAAAATAAGGGTTTATAGCACATGGCACCCAAATAATTTGGGATTCTTAAACAAACAAATGGAATCTTGCACGAGAACTCTTCAAAAACCAACCGTGTCCATTCGCCATCCAGGATGGAGAGCAGGTGGAGAAGAGAGCAGCAAGATGGAGAATTAAAACTTTACTAAAAAGTAAAGAATAAAACAGCCACCCTTTGATTTCTGTCCCAACATTAACCCCCACCCCCTGATCAACCATGTTAAAAACATCTCAAAAGCAGACAGTTGTCTGCATGTGCTAGTTACAGACAGGCTGAACTTCTGATTATAAACACACGGCCTGCACTGTGTCATTTACTAAAATTTGGGTGGAAATGGGGATCAGTGGGTATGGAGGTAGTTGGAGATGAGGAGATGTTACCATCTGACAGACTGACATCCTCAGCCTACAATACATAAAGTCACTCTGACGATTTGAGTTTTGGTGTGAGGCTGGAGTCAATAGCAGAGGCATGCAGATATGACATTGGACGTAAAAACCAAACCAGCCACTTATAAAATGGTTTTATTCTGAAAAGTTGCCTATTTTGGATATGTTATACACATTTTAAATAGAGAGGATTTAAATCAGTTATTCTTCTAAGTTTTCATTTGTCTCAGAAGCCTGTTAATGTATTTTACACTGTTTACCTCATTCCTATCATTGCATGAGAAACGTAAGCAAATCTAAGTGAATAATTACCCAGGGGAACAGTGAGCGTTGCTACATACAAATGGGTTTCCAATGCACAACACCAAGTAAACCGGTAACAGAAGCACCGATTATTACTGGTGCTACTTTTGGAAGGATAACTATACTGGGGATTTAAATATGATTTTTAGGAATTATGGTTTTTTAGAAGAAAGGATCCTTCACCAAAGACTTCTACTCAATGGACACTTAGGGCCCGATTTTTTAGAGAGTTTCTATCAAATAACGTAATAGAGACAACAAACAGATCCAGCAAATCCTGGGACGCTGTGGTAAAACACCCCCGTCCCGACCTGCGACCGACCAGCTCCCTCCCCGGCCTTCTCTTTAGGCACTACTTATTTCTCCCTCCTGAAAAGGCAACACCTTGTTAAATGATCTAACAAGACCATCAAAAACCAGCTGCCCAGCAGCTAATCCACAGCCCCGGTTCCAAGCTAGGTTTGTAGCGCAGGTCTCCCGGGGAAGCTGGCTCCCCAACCCACTCCTCCAGCTACCCCCAAGCAAAAAGTCTCCCTTCTCAACCATTGCAGAGGAGACCAGAGCGTTTCAGAGCCCGAACAGCAAGAATGCTGTTGCTTGGGAGTGCAAAGTACAGTGAGGATTTGGCCCTTAAAACCCCGGTCCTTTAACGTAAAGGTTAAACATTCATAGCACTGGACATGTCCCTGCTCTTAAGGAGCTGGGCTCCTCTAAGTTTCCTGCCGGCGAGGACCACAGGAATACAAATAATGTCACCCCTGGAGCCTCGCAAAACTTGGAGGCAGCCCCGAGACTGCTGACTTCCAAGAACTCTCTCTCCATTCATTGCACCGACAGGCTTGGCAGGGAGCGCCTCGTCGCCCCACAAAAGCATCGCTCTGAAAACAGGCGATTTAGAAGGGGGCAAAAAAAAGAAAACAGCAGCTTCCCTCCCTCCTTGCCCCTGCCCCCAGCACA